TCTTGGTTGTGAAATGACTCACACAAGACACAGATGGCTCCTCGTGGCACCAACCTGTAGATCTGCCATTGCTAGAGTACCAGCAGAGTCCTGAAGTGAAATGCAAGTAGGTCACAGCCCTGTCTGAACTCCCATGAACCCCAGGAGAGCAGTTTTCAAGTCCCTGTCTGAGCCCTGGGCCCCAGCAGAGCATATCCCCAGCCCTGTCTGGTCTTGGGGGCTGGGCATGGGCAGTCTACAGAGGGGGCATGTCCCCTGCCAGGCATGCCAGGAAGGGCAAGAGCTCTCAGGAGTGCTGAGGAGACTTGGGTTGAGGCAGCAGTGAAACAGGCCTTGGAGGGGAACTGCTGCACAGATCACATAGTTATTGTGTTTTGCAAATCTGTTTCATTGGAAACCAGGCCCACCTGCCTCTATGTAGTCCATAGGGACCAGACCTGACTGTCTGTATATAACGCACAGGGACAAGGACCAGGCCTACACACCAGGACTCCACAGGGGCTGTCTGTATACACACTAGAGGGACCAGGACCAGGCTTGCATGCCGATGTGGACTCCATGAGTGCTTGACCTGACTGCCGTATGGACTCCACAGGGACAGGGACCAAGCCTACATGCTGTGATGTTATTGGGTTCTAATAAGAAAATGCAGAGCAGTGTTAAACTCAATGGCTATGTCTACACTACGGGCTTTTTGCACAAGAACACCTGTTCTTGTGCAAAAACTTGCAGAGCGTCTACACTGCACGTGCATTCTTGCACAAGTAAATTTACAGTGCAAGCATCAGAAAACAGGGTTACTTCCGGAAGAGTTATTCCTCTCCCCACAAGGAATAAGCCCTCTTGTGCAAGAGCTCTTCCACAAGAAGGCAGTGTAGACAGGCAACATGAATTTTTTGCGCAAGAAACCCCTATGGCTAAAATGGCCATCAGAGTTTTCTTGCACAAGAGAGCATCCACACTGCCATGGACACTCTTGCGCAAAAGCACATGGCAGTATGGAAGTGCTCTTGTGGAAGATCTTTTGCACAAGAACTCTTGCACAAAACCATTCTGGTTCGCTCAGATCCCCGCCAAGCCTGTGTCTCTCTCAATCTGTGTTTACATGGCATTTTTGTCAGTGAAACTTTCATCAATTGGGTTGAGAAAAAAACCACAAATGTTTTCCTGATGAAAAGCATCAGTATCTACTGCTGACTAAGCTACCATTGCTTACTGGGGGATGAGGTATTTTGCCAGCTCTCCTGCCAGTAGAAAGCAGCCACATGGGAGACCTCTCAGCAGCACAGTATGCAGTGTAGACATAGCTTTAGTCTGACCTCCTAGGTCGGATGTGCAGGCAGCCCAGTTCAATCCTGGCTCACACCAGGTCTGGGAGCTCAGGGCCCCCTGGACAGGGGAGGCAGGCAACCGGTCCATGAGGGGAGCTGGTTTTTAAACTTAATCAACTATTCAATTAATCCATATTTAACACCCTTGGTTCTTATACCATGCCCAACACCATGGGATCTGGGTAATGCTGGAGTCTGGCTCTGGCCTTGACTCCCTGCTGTGCTGGTAACTGCCCTGATGGAAGAGGCTGGCCTGGCTGCGGGTCTATCTACCCCCTTTACACCATGCCACACTCTGGGTCTGCCCTTCTGCCCCGGTGAGTTGTGGGTCTGTGTCCACCCCCTTTGGGCTGCATGTAGGCACTGCCAGTGGCTCTCTCTCTACATACATTAGCCTCACAGATCAGTGCCACAGGACTTGTGGCTAAAGGCAAGCCAGGTAAGGCAGGACAGGTGCTCACTAGTGTGACACTGGGGCAGGTGTTTCCTAGATCCAGGGAGCTGGTGCTTTTCTGGGCACCTCTCCCTGCATTCATGCTCCCAGATGACTGGTCTCCCCTTCTCCCAGCAGCAGCGTCAGGAGCAAGTAGTCTGGGCTGGGCTGGGATGGAATGAAGAGGGCGGGGGCTGGAGGGGCTCCTGCCTGCACTTGTGCATTGCATGCGTGGGCTGCCAGGACATGGAGCCGGTTACACTGAATCAGTGACAGGCGGCTGCTGGTTGTTCAGCACCTGCTGAGCCCAGGAGCTCAGTGCCTGGAATACTCCTGTTTCTACATACATGGTGTGGTGTGCGGCAGAACGAGCCATGCTGCACATTTAAAATACCACTACTGCATGCTCAAATAGAGCCCCTAATGCTGAGTGTGGACCCTCGAGCAGAGTCCAAATCCACTGGGTTGGTACTAGGCCCCCAGCTATGAGCGAGTTTCTTGAAGGAATTCCATCCCTGTGCCAACCCCAAGGGTCCCCAGCCTTCTTCCAGGCTGCCTCTTGAGACGGAATAGCTGGGCTTCAGCCCTCCTCTTTCACCCCAGGAGCTCTGCTCAGCGAATCTAGCTGAGAGAGAAAACTTAAAAAACAACAAATAATTCTGCAGCACCTTAGAGACTAACAAAAAATGTAGATGGTATCATGAGCTTTTGCAGGAACAACCCACTGAGAGAGACTTGTACTCTTCAGGGATTAATGCTCCATAGTTACAGTGTCGCACAGCTTGTCAGAAGAGTCAGCTGTATTAGTCACCTGGAACCCAGCATGGGAAGTCCTTAGGTCAGCACAGAGCATTGATGGGTAAAGCACAGACCATTCTGGTTCGCTCAGATCCCAGCCAAGCCTGTGTCTCTCTCAGTCTGTGTTTACATGGCATTTTTGTCAGTGAAACTTTCATCAATTGGGTTGAGAAAAAAACCACAAATGTTTTCCTGATGAAAAGCATCAGTATCTACTGCTGACTAAGCTACCATTGCTTACTGGGGGATGAAGAATTTTGCCAGCTCTCCTGCCAGTAGAAGCAGCCACATGGGAGACCTCTCAGCAGCACAGTATGCAGTGTAGACATAGCTTTAGTCTGACCTCCTAGGTCAGTTCCCAGGTGAAAGCCCCGCTTCTCGTAGCCAATGTGTGAGTTTGCCCCAATTCTATATAAGGTGAGCTATGGGAGGTGTCTAATGAAAGCTTATGCTATGCTGACTTGTATAATTTTTGTATGTAAAGATGTGAATATGTGCTCTGGACTTATATTTTATGTTTTCTGTCTGGGCGACAGTGGCAGGCGTTGCCCACCTATTGTGAGGGGTAGTGGCCCAGTGAATGCTGCATGGGCAATGGCTCTTAGGGGTTGCCAATTCATACCTCAGGAGCACACACTGGCCCCTTGCCAGAAAGGACATATCTGGATATTCCATGGCTCCTTGCCCAAAAAGGACATGGTAATAATCTGATCAGATCTATTTGGGGAGACCCATCCTGCCCATCTAGTCTCAAATCCAGCATTGGGTTACCTCTCCTGGGACTTGTACCCAGCTCCAATGCGCACTGCAGCTCCATAGAAGAACTCAAGGCACTTAGTTGTCCCAAGGAAGCTGCCTGTGCATGCCTATGCCCTCTGCTGGGTACTGTCAGAGCTTCAACTCTGTCCCAGCCCTGCTCTCACTAACAGAATCCTCTTTTGCTTAACCCAGAGGGCCCACAGCCTCTCTAGCAAGAGCATCTCCCTGATGCCACCATGCTCTCAGGCCTGCAAGATTAGAGCTCCGCTTGTGGGATCAGGTTTGGGACATAGCTGCTAGTAACAGGGAAGAGGCTTCAGCACAGCTAGAACCAGAATCCTTGCAAAGTGGTAATGGACTGAACACAGACAACAAGATCCCCTGTGTGGAGAGCTGCTAGTCGCTCCCTGGAGCTCATTGGCATGAGTTAAACAAGAGGGGACATGGAACAGTGAAGGAATTATACACCTGGGAGTGATCAACTCATCTCACATGGCCCAGCTGTGCCATGTCTGAGATCCCCAACCCTCATACACCTCACATGGCCCGGCTGTGCCATGTCTGAGATCCCCAACCCTCATACACCTCACATGGCCCGGCTGTGCCATGTCTGAGATCCCCAACCCTCATACACCTCACATGGCCCGGCTGTGCCATGTCTGAGATCCCCAACCCTCATACACCTCACATGGCCCGGCTGTGCCATGTCTGAGATCCCCAACCCTCATACACCTCACATGGCCCGGCTGTGCCATGTCTGAGATCCCCAACCCTCATACACCTCACATGGCCCGGCTGTGCCATGTCTGAGATCCCCAACCCTCATACACCTCACATGGCCCGGCTGTGACACACCTGCGATCCCCTAACTACATGTACCTCACTTAATCCATCTGTGACACACCTTGGATCCCCAACCCTCATACACCTCACACAGCCCAGCTGTGATACACCTTAGATCCCTGACCCACACACCTAAAATGGCACACCTGTGCCCCAGCTGGGCCACGTGAGGTGCATGAGGGTTGGGGATCCCAGCTGTGGAATGTGGGAATTTCACCCTTGCACCTGACTCACATGCATCTCACGTGGCCCAGCTATGCCAGTGATCCCCGACCCACCTGTGTCTTCCATCAACACAATGCACGCAGCCCACCCGTGCTGCAGCCTGGATGACAGATCAACCCAATGCATGCTTCCCAACTGGGCCAAACCAGACAGGATCTCCCCAGGTCGTATGCTGTGTACAGCGTCTGCCAATGGGGATCAGCACAGCCAGTCAAGCCATCATGTTACTAGGCCCTGAGCTAGCATCTTCCTGCCCAAAGCAGGGTCCAGAATGGATCTCAGAGATACACCTTCCCTTCACCCAACAATCTCAATGCTATGAAAACCTGCCCAAGCTGTGAGTGCAGCTACCCATGGACACTACAGTTCTTGGGGGCATTGCAGATGCTGTCAGGCTATGGCAGCACTGAAATCTGGGGGCATTAGTTTCAATGAGCTGTCCCAACTGGATGTTCCAGGTATGGGACCAAGCTGGGTACGGTGCCTGGGGCAGCACTCCAGCCCTGGGGCCAGTCCCTGGGTCCTCAGCCAATCTGGTTCCAATTGTCCCATTGCCTTGCTGGATGCAGCCCAGTGCCAAAGCATTCAGTCCCATGCTAAACCCTCCTTACCTTTGGCTGCCTCCTGAGGGGCCTGCTGTGCCTTGGACCCACTCTCCTGGTTCCTGCGGTGGGACTTGGAGCGCAGATATTTTCGCAGGTTCAGCTTACTGCCTTCTTGGCCCTTGGGCTCCTTGGGCATCTTGGTAGGGGCAGAGAATGCCCTCTGGAACATAGACCTCCGGGCAGTTGCTTTGCTGCCCACGGGGCCTGGGGACTCAGTGCCTGGGCTGGTCCTGGCCATGCGCACCTCAGGGGCATCAGTCTCAGGGTGGCTATGAGCACGCTTCCAGTTGTGCAGTCTGGCCCAGCGGCTGCTGGCAGGAGGCATAGGATGCCGCTCTGTCTCCAGCTCCATCTCCCTCTCTCCGCCTTGAGGGCCTGTCCGCCATTTGTAGGACTTCAGCAGAGATGGAGCCTCAGCTGTGGGGTGTCGTGTCTCCTCCTCCATCTGCAGAGCAAGCATGAATGTGGCATCGGATGTGCTGGTGCCATGATGCAGGACCTGGTCCAGAAACAGTACCTGGGCTCTAGAGCCATCACTTCCCATGGGAAGGAGATGGGGCAGCAGAGAGAGGTCTGATGGGGCAGAAGGTATAGGGCTGCAGGGAAGTGGTGCTGGTATTTGGAGCCTCTGAGATTCTGATATGCCCATGGTGCCTGTGACTGTGCCCACCAGCCTTTGGTGCACAGACAGGGGGCATGGGCCAGGTACTCAGTGGGTTCCCAGGGCTAGCCGGACACTGGGGGAGTGGAGGGACTGCCAGGGGTCATTCTGCACTTCTAAGCCCTTGGGGGAACACATGTGCCTCACACACTCACCATGCAGCTCAGGCGGGCTAGGCACAGTGTCAGGGCATGGTAGCAGTCAGAAACAAAAGAGACAGATGGGTGGCTGTCGTTTCACTGGGCTATGCACTGCCACACTGGCACCCAGGGTTGTGCATGCTTTTGAGTCACATGCTCTGGTTCCTGGTGAGAGGATCCCTTCCTCTCCTGGTGTTCTCAGCCTAGAGTGGCAGGAAGGGTGAACCCACTAATGTCCACAGGCAGGCTGGTTTTGAATTATTTAAGGACCCTACAGTTAGTGGAAGTGAGGGGAGCTCTCCTGTAGCCCAGCTAAGATGACCCTGATGTTATGGGCTTTATCTGATATACACAGCAATAACCCTCCCCAAACCAAACGTGTCCCAGTTTTTCCTGCTTAGTCACCTACACCCAAGCAGCTGAGATGTGGGTGCTGGAGAAGAGGGTGCTGGCTCTAGTCCTAGGTGGTGGTGGGCTGTTTGTGGTATGTGGATTTGCCCCAAAGGGCAGCAGGAGCCTGTGAGGAATGAGCTGGTATTGCAGCCTGTGGGAAAACCTGAGATCTGTGGCTCTGGATGGAGGGCATCTGGCACTGGGTTTAGGCTTGCTGCAGCCTGTGAGCACCACAGTGGGGGAGGGGACTGGAGGGGACAGCAGTGGATACAGGGAGGCTGGTCTGAGCTTTCTCTGACCACGGGGGGCATGGTAGCCAGACTAAGTAATCCGATGCTGGTACATTGGGTCTCTCTGTGGCACCAGTGCTGATGGGCAAAAGGGACCTGGTGCTCCAGGTCTTCCTGTGGCACCAGTGCCGGGGGTGGGGGAGTGGTGTTCAGTGTTCTGGGTCTCCTTGGGGTCAGAGTCCAGTGCTCAGGGCCTCCCCGTGGACAGGCTGGGGGGAGGGGCTTGGTGCTCCTGTCTCCCCATGGCACCCAGGCTAAGTACACACTGTAGGAGGGAGCACAGCCCCTCCCTGCTCTGCACAAACCAGTCCTGCCTCTTCCCAGGCTGGGAGAGGTGCAACGCCCCAGTCTGGGCTAACAGCCCTTGCCATGGGGTGCAGGGAGCAGCGCTTCCGCTCCTTCTGGTTGTCGTACTGCTGCCCCTCCCCCAAAGCCATTTCCTCCCCAGCACCTGGCCCTGCACATTCTGTTTCTGATGCAAATACAAGGCCCCCAAGTTCCTGTGGCTGCAGGGGGAAGGGCCAGTCCTTGGGGCCTTTGCTGTGGGATGCAAGGGATGAGTAAGGCTGGCAACAGCTCCGAGAGGCTAGAGGCTCCCCTGAGCACAAGGAGACTGCAGCCCCCTGTCGCCGTACATAAGCCGTACCAAGCAGTGGGGGAAGGGACAAGGCACCACTACTTGGGTCCCCGGCCAGTGCCAGGGTTCTGGAGCCCAGACTGCAGATGGTTCTGCCCCTCTGCCCACAGGGCCCCGGTGTCAGATCCAGGGGATCCCCTTGCCTCGAGCTCCAGGGATAGGCAGGGAGCAGTGCCCCTGAGTGCTGCTGACAGATGTTGGGGCAAGGGATGTTACAGGCATGTGGAAGGATAGGGTAGGACTGGGGGCCGGCCACTTTCCCCTTTTCCTCAGAAGCACTGAGGGCCAGGGGCTTGCCTCTCTGACCCCCACTCCACAACTCGCCACTGAGCCCCTACAGCCCGTACTCCTCCTTCTCTCCCCTGCAGGGCCGTGCCCTCTGGCACTCCCCCAGCCTCCCATGCCCCCTGCTGCCCCATCGCACTGCTCTGTCCTCAGTCCCCTCCTCCCTCCAGTCCCATCCGCTCCCCACCGACTCCTGCCCCAGTCACTCCCCCAGCTTCACCATCTGCCCGTCTCCGCGTCCCCCAGCCCCCTCCATTCTCCCCCAACTCCCCTCCTTCCCCTTCTGGCCCCCCCAGCAGCAGTCGCTGGCGCTGCCGGAGCGGTACCTCGGTTCCCTGCTGCCTTGGCTCGCTCGCTCTCCGGCGGGTCCGTCCCGGCAGCGCTGTGCTCTGGCGGCCCATGTGATCAGGCAGCAGTTACTCATCTCGCCCTCACCTCTGCCGGTGGCTGAGCGGCTCCACCGCAAGTCGACTCCCAGCCGCGCAGCTCTGACGGGGTCTGAGCCTGGGCCCATCGCCATGTGAACCGGGCTGGTGCTATGCCACGCTGCACCCACGCCGTCGTCGTTAGGCTCCAGAGTCAATACGGCCAAGTCTCTGTGAGCGCCTGGGAGCACTCCGGAGCAGCGCAGGACCGGCCGCTCCACCCACACGGCGCACCGCACGGGATCCCTCAGCCAGAAAAGCACCAAGGCGGATGAGATCCTGCAGAACCAGAGACATGGGCGGGAGTTGGAAACCAGAAGGAATTTGCAAACCATCAGCTCTCCAGTGTCCCAGGGCTGTTGGTGCTGCCACAACCCGTCTACGGGCATTTCCACGGACACGGCCACGGCTGGCGCCTCCACCTTCTGTCCATGGGCATTTCCACTGGCACGGCTGGGACTGCCACCTTCTGTCCATGGGTATTTCCACGGGCATGGCTAGCGCCGCCACCTTCTGTCCATGGGCATTTCCACTGGCACGGCTGGCACTGCCACCTTCTGTCCATGGGCATTTCCACTGGCACGGCTGGCACTGCCACCTACTGTCCATGGGTATTTCCACGGGCATGGCTAGCGCCGCCACCTTCTGTCCATGGGCATTTCTGCTAGCACGATTGATGCTGGCATATCCAGACTTCCCACAGCACCCACTGGAATGGCTGGTGAGTTGAAGGCCTGGAAACTTGGATATGGGCGACACCAGTGGGACTCAGTTGTACAGCAGATGTTTCAAGGTGCATTTGGGAGCCACAGCTTTTCTTTGCAGGAGCTGCTACATGCTGACAGCGGTATCATAGTGCCCCCTGGTGAGTTCCCAGGCAACTTACTTCCTGGAATGGCAGCAACACCTGGAACCAGGATTCTGCTTAGAATCATAGAATCATAGGTTTGGAAGAGACCTCAGGAGGTCCAACCCTCCAGAAACCTTCCAGTCACTTCGTGGGTAGGGCAAGAGGGGAAGATGGTTCCAGGCCAGGGTCTGTGCCTGGAGTGGGTGGAGAGGGCTAGTGACTGAGTCTTGGCTTTGCTAGGAGCCCCAGCTCCTGCTCCCTAGGCCTGAACAGGCAGCAGGTGGAAAGCCACATGCCTGGTCACTGGCAGCAGTCACAGAGCAGCTATGAACCCTTGAAGCATGACAGGTCTAGATTTAGCGTAAGCAGCTCTCAGCTGCCCACCTGCGGGGTTCCTGCTGCTGGGGGCGGGGGCAGGCTGGTGTCTGGGTAATGTGGCTCTTGGGGTGCAGAAACAGGGTTGGGCCTCCGGGTAGGTCTGAGCTTTGCTATAGAGTGGAATCTGTGGGCAGCTCATGGACTCCTGATGGAAGTGAGACTGGGCTGCATCAGTTGTATGTCTACAAATCAAAGTTATTTTGGGATACCAGAGGTAACCCAAAATAGCTACACCACTTCTTTTGAACGCATCTGCTATTCTGAAATATAGCGGACGTGCTATTTCACCATCCCCATAAACCTCATTGTACGAGTAAAGGATGGCTCAAAATAGCACTTTATTTCAAAATTTGGTGCTGTGTAGATACTATTTCAAAATAGACTTAAAATAAGCTGCGCAATTTGCGTATCTTATTTCAAGTTTATGGTGCTGTGTATATGCACCCTGGGTGTGCTCAGTCATGTGGAGCAACCCCAGAGAGAGCTCAAAATGAGCCACACTCAAAGCCTCGGCCCCTTGGCTTCTGGAGGGCGAGGGTCTGATCGAAGGCAGAAGAAATCTCATGAGAAAAGAGCTTTTCACAGATGGCACCCCACAACCTCCCTGTCTATCTAATTCCAATCTAGCCACTGACCCCATTCCTGTGCCCCACACCCTCTTTGGCATTCCATGCCCAAACCTGATAGGAGCTCTAACCTTTGCCTGCCTGGAAAGTGCTCAGAGTGATAGCTTTTTCCAGTAAAACTCAGCTGCTGAGAACTTGTCTGAGCTGGCACTCCAGGCTAGTCAGAGTCCCAGGCCTACCCAAACCCCTTGATCCCACTTAGGACTCTGCACTAAATGAATGTGGTATGAAGGTGCGGTGCCATTGCATCCAATTCTGGGGCTGCCATTACAGAAAGGATGTGGATGCATTGGAGTTCAGCTGAGGGCAGGTTTTAAACCTGTTGCCTATTAATTTCATTTGGTGACCCCCTAGTTCTTATATTGTGGAAATAAGTAAATAACTTTTCCTTATTCACTTTTTCCACACCAGTCATGATTTTATAGACTTTTATAATATCCCCCCTTCATCTTCTCTTTTTTAAGTTGAAAAGTCCCAGTCTCTTTAATCCTCATATGGGACCCATTTCAGACCCCTAAAAATTTTTTGTTGCCCTTTTCTGAACCTTTTCCAATGCCAATATATCTTTTTTGAGATGACACGACCACATCTGTATACAGTATTCAAGATGTGGGTGTACCATGGTTTTATATAGAGGTAATAAGATATTCTCTGTCTTATTTTCTATCCCTTTTTAAATTCGTTATCCCATTCTATTTGCTTTTTTGACTGCCGCTGCACATGCAGGCTCCGTCTACACTGGCATGATTTTGCGCAAAAGCAAATGCTTTTGCGCAAAATCTTGCCACCTGTCTACACTGGCTGCAAGTATTTGGCCAAGAACACTGACTTTGTAATGTACAAAATCAGTGGTTCTTGCGCAAATACTCTGACACTCCCGCTCAGGGATAAGCCCTCTTGCACAAATATTCTTGCGCAAGAGGGCCAGTGTAGACAGCAACGTTAATTTCTTGCGCAAGAAAGCCCAATGGCTAAAATGGCCATCGGAGCTTTCTTGCGCAAGAGAGTGTCTACGCTGGCATGGATACTTTTGCGCAAAAGCAAATCTTTTCTGCAAAGGCACATGCCAGTATAGACGCTCTCTTGCACAAATACTTTTAACAGAAAATCTTTTCCGCAAAATCGTGCCAGTGTAGACACATCCTGAGTGTATGTTTTCAGAGAACTATCCACAATGACTCCAAGATCTCTTGAATAGTTGTAGCTAAATTAGTCCCCATCATATTGTGTGCATAGTTGGGATTATTTTTTCAAATGTGCATCACCTTACATGTATCAGCATTTAATTTCATTTGTCATGTTGTTGCCCAATCACTTGGTTTGGTGAGATCTTTTTGAAGTTCTTCACAGTCTGGTTTGGTCTTAACTATCTTGAGCAGTTTAGTATCATCTGCAAATTTTGCCACCTCACTGTTTACCCCTTTCTCTAGATCATTGATAAAGAAGTTGAACAAAATTAGTCCCGGGACAGATCTTTGGGGGAACCCACTAGTTACCACTTTCCTCTCTGAAAACTGACCATTTATTCCTACAATATGTTTCCTGTCTTTTAACCAGTTATCAATCCATGAAAGGACCTTCCCTTTTATCCCATGACAGCTTACTTTATTTAAGAGCCTTTGATGAGGGACCTGTCTTATGAAAACCTGTCTTATGAAAGGAGACTCAAGGAGCTTGGCTTGTTTACCTTAACCAAAAGAAGGCTTAAAGGGGCACGGGCTGGCTACGGTGCCCATGCCAGGTGCAAGCCTGCCAGCACCCAGCCCGCAGACCCTGCACCTGGCAAGGCTCGAGCCAGCCACCTGCTGCCACCCAGCCCTCCGCCTCTTCCCGGGACCAGGCTGGCGGCGCCCCGGGGCCCTCCCCACCCAGCCCTCCGCCTCTTCCCGGGAACAGGCTGGCGGCTCCCAGGAGCCTGCCCGGGTCCACAAGAGGCGGGCGCCCACCTGGTCTAGTGCGGACATCGTGGACCTCATCCATGACGTCTGCACTAGGCACAGGAAAGTGACCGTCTAGGGCAGGAGAGCTGCCAGCCTGGCCACCCAGGAGGAGGAGTGCATGAAAATCAAGGTGGTCCACTGAGACCCCCGACCCTGAGCCCTGACCTTACAATCGCCGTCGTG